ACTGACAAGATTCATTGTTGTTCTGAAAAATGACTTCATCATCTGCATGTAAATCCCATTTTGTTCTGTCAATTTCTTATAGTTCTGTTGCAAACATTGACTCCTGATTTAACCCATTTGTTTTGCTGTACATTTTCTATTTTCAAGTTATATTGCTTATGTGTTTTCTATCCTGATACTTTAATGTCTTTCATGATCTACCAGCATGTTTTCCTTTTTTAACTTTCCCATTTCTTTTGTTTGTACCAAATTTTAGACATAGTTGACTGGGAACAATCAACTTCATTCACCATGCTCCATTGTAGATTGCCTTCTTAAATGAGTTTTATGATCCTTTCTCTTGCTTCAATTGATAGTTGTTTTTGTTGGAGCCTTGTTTCCCTTCAATTAGGTATGCCCAAACATTTGTTGAGGTCTGCAAGAACATTTTTTTTTTTTTAAACTGTAGATCAATTTTCATTGCCAGTACTTCTGGTATTTTGTTTTAAGAATGCAAATGACAAAATTATTCCATAATTTTTTAACTCAATATTGAGTTATTTCATATTTTCCTTTACATGGCTTGGAAAAAATTGTTTAAGGTATATTTTATGAAGCTATGATTAAATTGAAGTTATTAGATAAAAATGTTTTTCACCTTATCAGTTATTAGTTTATTTACTGCTAAATTATAAAAATAAGTGATCATCCTCTAAGTTTGCTAATTCCATGATTTTTACCAAGTGTTCTAAAAGTTTCAAACATTAACAAATAATGAACTGTAGATATTTATTACTATCTAATGGTTTTATACATGAATGGAATTTATTTTTTTAATAACTACTTCACCTTGTTTATAGTGTAAGTGTATCTGATTAGAATAAAAATAAATTAATGGTGATGTTTATTGTGGTGTGGGGCTTAGGGGTTAAAATAAACAGTTGATTTACCCATGGTAAGAAGATTAGTGGAGGATGATAATGACAAGGAAACACATGGATAATTCTAACAAAACAAAATAAGGAATTTATTCACAAATTTACATGCTTTAAGATGTGTCAATAGCTTGTTTTAGGAAAATAAACCAGAGTTCTTAAAGTCTGTAGTTTCGATGTATTGCCATTAAGATGAAATATTCATACAACAGATTAAATGATTAGACACAAAATAATATTAAAAAATGTAAGAGAATTTGATGCTCACCAAGAGAATTTGATGCTCACCAAAGGGATATAAGGTTTGTATATGTTCAATTGAAGACATGGAGAGATAGTTTCCTCAGATTGATGAGAGAAAATTCTTTGAAGTACTGTGTGCTGGTTAGAGGCTGATTATATAATTGGTAATTTTACACAGGTACTTCAATTCTGGTCACAAGGAACTGAAACAAAACCTTTCATATGACTTCAGACACTCTTCTCATTAATTTAATTTTTCTCCTCATTTTATATCAAAAAGAATTTTGCAGAGGCTCATTACTTTCTTTCCTTCTTGGTTTACTGGCTAATTGATGTGAATCTTTTCATAGGTCCAAAAACAATTTCACATTTCTTTCCTCCTTTTCCTTGGCTCACCGGTTAATTTCTGTGAAAGGCTAAAATCTCAGATAGGTTTGGGAATTTCTTTCTTACTTCTTCCTCAGTCTTCTAAACTTGAAGGAAGTCAGTGAAGCGGGGTATTATTATTTCACATTCGCTACATGTTCAAGTATTACAAATTTTCATTGAGTTAGCAGCATGTAGCATATATATATATATATATTTTAAGACATTTTTATGTTTAACATTCTTTTTATAGATACAAATATTTAAGTAAATGCACTGTTTATAATAAACAGTATTAAACAACATTTACCAGCTTGAATGTCCGAGAAATTTTCACAGAAAATATTCGTCCTCCTGTCAGACAACGAATATTTTCTGTGAAAATTTTTATTCTAATCAGATGCACTCACACTATAAACAAGGTGAATATTTTCTGTGAAAATTTCTCAGACATTCAGGTCGGGATATATTTATAGAAGTCAGTGTCTACAAGCATTTTTTAGAGGGCGTTTCAGAGTCTGATCAGCTCTCAAGGGGTCGATTTGGTGAGGTCAGTATGATGTTTGAAAGACCCGAAACTGTCCAATGATCCATCTCCAGAACATCACTGACGACGCCCTCTAGCGCTAAAAGAGCACATATTCAAAGAAAGTAGATAATTTATGGTAGATGTTATATGTTTTGGTATAAACCTATTTCTTTAAGATAGGACATTATGTTGACAGTTTCAGTATTTTCACATATTATTCTCATGTTGGTTTCCTTGTAGTATTTATGTCTGACAGGGGAGAATGTTGAGAATGTTGCTATGACCATCTATGAGTACATTCAATTAAAATGTGTTTCACCATGAGTGCAGTTTGGCATGTTGGTTGATCTTCATTTTTCAGCAAGTATGACTGGTTGCATAAAGGCTTGATTTTGTTAGTAGGTGTGTATTGTTGCTACTATAAATATGTATTGTTGGTAATTTTTTTATATAAAAATGTATTGCTGGTATTTTTGCTATGTGACACCAACTGGTGGTTGCAGCGCCAATATGTCCTCTGGTTGCGACACCAATATGTGACACTGTGCTTTCGGCCCGTGGTCAACTCACAGTTGTGGTGTGAAGCTGTAATGTTTCTTCCACCAGCATTTGGGGTTGACTCCTTGTCGCTGCCATCAGCCTGTTTCCTGATGAATCTGGTCGTTCCCGGTTCGATACCAGCTTTGCCATTCCCAGCTCACTTCCAAAATCTGGTTACCGAAGTAACTACTTTGATCTCAAGTCTAACCTACCCACGTTGTGACTTTGATCTTAGATAGACGAAATCAATCAGGCGTCAGGCTGGAGTGCAAGCTGAATCTTGGGTGAAGGTAATATTGCATAAGCATAAGTAAAAGAAGCAATAAAACAAAACTCAAGAGGTTCAAATATGTTGAGAAATAACAAATTATCTTTATCCGTCTGTTATATACAGGAGTGTGTTTCTCTCCCAGCCCGTTTCTATGGATTTGTGACACTTTTGCATTTCTTAAGCGAGTTTTGGTATCTTAATTCGTTCATCAATATAACTCGCTTTTGGTAGGAAGTCGAAGTCAGAAGGACGTGGAATTTCTCGGTCATCTTCTGTGAGACAACACTCTGACTCTGTCCAGAACTGAACTCCAACTGCCTGGAGACGTTCATTTATATGGATACCAACCAAAACCCGGTGAGGGGCCTGACGTGGTTTGGGTATTTTATCTGAGAATCAAATTCTTTATTTTTCTCATGCCTTACAATCCTCTTATCACCAGATGCCCATTTTCAACGACGATGTGTCTGACATCAATAGTTTGAAAAAGTAATAATAATTTCCTCTATGATTTTCTTCCTCATGCCAGAATTCTAACACATACCAGATGATTTCCCTTTGTTGGACCCAGGAATCAAAATTAAATGATATTTTTGAAAGATAACTAATATCGATTGTCTGCCTGTATCACGGTCGTCCAAAATTTTTTTATGACCACCATGTGTTGGCCGGCTTTGTTTTTCTTTCTGAATTCCCTTTCCCTTGGCACGTCATTCCCTTACAATGACATTAATCAGTTTTGACAGAATCTCATATCTCACTTTTTCTTACAGATTTTCTGTCTCGTGCGAAAAGTATCTTTCTTCATAAATAAAATGAAATCTTTTTAACGTTGCTCAGTCTATCTTTTGATATAGCTCTTTCTCGCCTTAAATCTTTCCTGTTTTTTAATTTCTATGGTTAATTAGCCAATTACCATAACTAAATAGTGTCACAGCTATAAAAAAATATTTTTATACTTTCATAGTGTTTTGTTTGGGGGTTCACTTTTGAATATTTGCCTGTAGTTGGGCCCTAACAGGTGCTACCACCTGGGGTCAGAGTGAACCTGGGAACAACAGCAATTAAGAGGTGGTTCCACACTCCTCAAAACCTCCAATTTCCCAGATTTGCTGGATATAGTTTATTGTCATACACAGGAGTGGAATGCAAATGGGCACTAACCTTACACAGCAAATGTAAACATTGCTATTAAGTTAATAAACAGAGGAAAGTTGCCTGAACTTGATGAGATCTCTGCAAAATTGCTTTATTTTGATGTTGAGAATGTTGCTATGACCATCTATGAGTGCATCACTCATAGCTGGGAGGGTGCACCTATACCACAAAATTGGATGTATGGAATGATTGTATCATTATTCAAAGGGAAAGGATTTAGCAGTACCCTAAATTAGTCTGTTGGTAAGGTGTTAGTGTGGCTTCTTTTGACAGGTTCATTGACAATGTTTGTCCTTCAATTTTCTCACATGCTCAGTGTAAAATTATATCAATATGTGGCAATACTGATAGGATATCTTTTGTGAGGCAGCTCCTGGAAGAATACATTGAGTACATCAGGTCTTTGTTGGCCACCTAGTTTTGTCTGTATGATTCCTGATCACATGATATGAAGGATAGTTTTTGCCTTCAATGGAACTTTGATGTTAAACAAGGGAACATCATAGCACTTACACACTTTTACTTCTATGTGTTGCTGTCTTATGCTTTCAATAACTGCTATGCTGGTACATACTTAAGATTTTGAATGTTACAAAAGTTGGTTAATTTGAAGAGGTTCAACACCATATTCAAAAATTGAGGAAGTTCAACACCATATTCAGTGATTACAGTTACTGGCTGAAGCTGAAGATAGTTATAATAACAATGAAATCTGATTATTGTTGTTTTGAACTTTTTCGTATCACACACACACACACACCATACACAATAGTTCAAGAAAGCTTTTATGGATCTGATGAAGTAACTTTTTGTGATTATTACTGACATTTAAATAGAGATTATAAAAAGTCAAAGTTGTTTTTAGGGATTAGAATAATAAAAAGAATACTTGTATACTGATAAAACCTAATTTTTGAAATTGATAATAGTAAAATTTTCTGATAAGTGTATTGTTTGTTTCTTAATAAAAAAAATAGTTTTATGCTTTTTGCTCTTGTGGTCTTAACTTTTGAGATTCTTGTATTTGTTTCAGTTCATACATTGTTTGTGGAAGTCGTTTCTTGAATGTTTCTGGTAAACCCCAACTGAGAAGAATTGAGGAGATGATACACGCTGATCCAAAGAGGACGCTTGGTGCCCATGCAGAATAAGTTGCCTGAAAATTAAGGGAGAAAACAAAACAGGAATTAGATTTTAGAAAGTAGGAGAAAGAAGATAAAAAAAATTAATGTAAAAAAAAAAAAAAAAAAAAAATTGAATCATTTTATTCAACAGCTGAAAACATCTTTAAAAAAAAATCACTGAACAACTTAATCTGAAAAGTTAGGATTTGGGATTTTCTTATAACACAAGTTCTTCCTAAGAAATATTATCATCTGCTCAATGTTGATGGTCATAATGAAGAAATTAATAAGATAACAGTTAAATGATCTGGGATGCATTTGTGCGCAACAAAATAAAGAAAAAACAACAATCAATAAAGGATAAATCACTTCCTTTCATTTCTGCTGTTATTAATTGCATTTAACTGTGTCTAGGAGTAAGTGAGCTAAACTTCTACTTTTTAATCCCTAACTCCTGTCATCCATTAGTTCACTGCTGAGAAAAAATAAAAATTGTTCTTGATAAAATTATAAATTTATTATCACTCTAAAACAAAGAAAAGCTAAAAATATTTGTACAAATGCTAATGAGCATATATCCCTGTTGCAATGTAATATTGTGAGTATCATCAGTAAACTCTTTGTGTCTTTTATCAACAAGGTTATTGATCATTTCACCAGAAATAACCTCATGAACAACAAACAGTATGGATTTTGCTCCTCTAGGTCAACTGTTGATGTTTTGACTGTCATTACACACAGAATCAGTGTAGTGCTTGGTTATAACTTCATCACAAAAGCAATTGCCTTAGATACCTTGAAGGGTTTTGACAAGGTGTAGCATAGGTGGTTGCTACACTAACTCTCCAGCTGTGGCATCTCTGGAAAAGTCTTTGCAATTATCAAGAAGTCCTTTCTCTCAGGTATGTCCATGAAGGTTGTTAATAGTCAGTTTTTTGAAGTTCATGGAAAATGTTCAGATGAGCTCTATTCTTTAGTGCCACCAGTTCAGACCTTTACTACTAAAAACCTGCCTTGCTATGACCACAAGGTTGAATCACTCTCATTCTCTCCATATTCAATAGGTAAGAAGGAATTTCCACTCAGGCAGCTTCTTCCCATGAACTGCTACTTTGTGGCACCTCCTCATGGATGCTTACTCAAGCACTAAAATCTTAACCTCTTCAACTCTAGGGTCAAATATTATCTTTCCTACACATCCTCATAACCTCACTTCCCACTTATATTTCTATCATACAACATAGTAACCCTCTACTTCGAGTGACTATTGAACCTTGTACTGAGAGAACATTAGTAAAAACTATATATTTTCATCTTTACAATGTGACCATATCTTCAGGGTTTTGGGAAACCAAACTGATATTCACTTACTTTGAACTGTTAACTCATCCTCTTTTGTATGCATTTCAATCTAAATAAAACTTTCAGACAATCACTTGACCTTTTAACTTTATATTGGTCAGTTAATATGTGTCACAGATTCTTGGCTTTGTAATGGGTTTTCTCACCAAGGTCCTGTTTTGAACATGTATTAAGTAGTGAATTGTCACATATTTTACACATGCAGTTTAATTGGATATTTTAATTTTTTATTTAATTTTACAGAGCCTCTTTCAATTGCAAATTACTGTTATTTTTCTTATTTTTTAAAATTTATTTGTTTTATCAGCATTTTTATTGTACTTTTATTTGGTTTCTTATGAATATTTTTCATAACTTTTCTTTGTATTGGATTAATAATTTTTTGTATAGATAATGTAGATCAGGATTTATCATAATTTGTTTTCAAATTAGAGTTGGTTGATGATTTCAACTTTATTAAGTTGAATTTTAGTTTGCAAATAATTGATGCAAAAATATTTTTTGTTAAAAAATACTCTATGGAAAATTAACAAAAGAAAACTTACAATAAAAACAAGTTCCTTCCCCTCACAAAAAATCAGCCTCTTTTACTGAGACAAAATCAACTAAAACTACAAAAATAATGAAACTATAATAATCCTATCTACAGATGAGTATCTCCACTTGATCTAGATAAATACAGAGGTTTTCTGATTTATTAAAAAAATAAAAATCTGTAACCTCCATTAGTCTCTGTTGCTAAATATCTAATTACTGATGAATGTATTTAATGCTCTCAGTTTAGATATTAACTCTCCTACAGCTATCATATCTTAATAGTTAACCAGTCATTTATTTGGTCAAAGTCCAAGCTATTTCAATGTTGAAACATTGAAATGATTAGACAATCTCACAATTACACATGATAACTGTATTCTATACTCAGCAAACAGATGTAAAGAAATATATCAAAAAATTTATAAAACAATCTTTGTTTGTTGATTTCAACCAAATTTATAATAGAAAAATTGATACATCTCTCGCTCTTCAATATAAATTGCATGATAGTTTTTTTTCTTAAGTATTTATTCATTTTTAAGAACCTTTTAACACTTAAATGATAAGTAAAATTTATATATTTCCCTTTCCAAAGCCTTACATACACATAACAAATACAAGATGTGCCCAAAATATTTGGTTGTTGATAAAAGCCATGTATTTTCTAACTTAATAATTTTATAATCATACTTATTATAAAACCCAGGTTGTGTGTGTGTGTGTGTGTGTGTGTGTGTGTGTTCGATTATATATGGGATTGAATTTCCTACATTTTTCAACCGATTTCAACAAAACTTCACTTTTTTTGGCAGGTAGTGTTTCTTATTGTCTTGCACACTTTTTTCTTTATTTTTAGATTCAGAATGCTTTAAAAAATTCCATTTACAAGACAATTGTTTATAATAAAATTCTATTCAATCGGTAGAGACTCATAACGATTGAAAACAATGTTTGGGTTTGACCAATTCGTAAAAAAACAAAAAAAAAAAAAAAAAAAAAAAAAAAAACAAACTAATTAAGACATGCGTGTCCGTCAACCTTAAACAATAATCTTTGTCAATTTTATTTTTCAGTCTTTATGATGGTCGATACTTGATCTATCTCTTACTGTTACATCCCTGGGCAATGCCGGGCTCTACTGCTAGTTAAGAATAAATATTACAATAAAGACTTGATACAAAAGCATTGTTGTGTAGTAGGAGACTTAATAGTATTGTAAGAATTTCTTAGATGAAGGATTTTCATTTTTAATAGTAATATTTTGATTAGTCATGGAATATGAAAAATCAATGGAGGGTTGTAATAATGATGAAAGATAAATACTCAAAAACTTAACATATTTTAGGTTCAAATAAAAGTGTATATATAATGTCTACCAATAAATATGTAACTATACATCTCTATCTCTCTATAAGACTCCAGCTGTATGAACTGAAATTAGTACCTGACTCCTACCATTAACCAAAGGGAATAAAGTCAAAGCAAAGTGCCCCCTTAATCAGCTATATAAAATCTGCCATTAAAAATAAAGAAATTGTTTTTGTAAGATTAGCACTTACCAGAGTTCTTGCAAATGGTGCCATCATATTTCCTAATCGTGCAGAGGCAGAACACAGACCAAGACCTACTGATCTGTCAAAAGCAAAGAAAAAATTAATATTTTTACCAATGAGAAATTATGAAAATCCCAATTTAAGTGAAACAAAGTGACACCAACATCCTACAGACTTTTACTAGTAATCAGTTGACACTTGTGTATTGTTAGTCAACATTCTCTGTTTTGATCATTCAGCAACCTGATGTCATTTTAGCTTTTGTTCACTCATCTTAGGTTTCTTGCCAGTCAGGTTTTGACTGGGCTTACATTCATTTTCAATTAAGAATCCACCATAGAAGATAGAATGTTGTGAGAACACCACCACCACATGGCAAAGACTTTTCCTCCACAAAAGATTTCTACCCAACTTGCTAGCTTTGCACCTTGTGTAACAAAAGTTTCTTATCTTTGGATTTAATAGAACCAGAGCTCAATAACTCATTTGACACTTGTGTACAGTCTGTATATCACTGTAGGTTACTATTTGTTCTGCCTCTTCACCTATCAATCTGTTTTTTTTTTCTTTGGGTATTGTGTTTAACTTATCTTTGTTATTAGAGACATTGTTGAATCACCTTTGAAGGAATCATTTTTATTCAGTAACAGGTTTACAAGTGTGACCTATTCACTTTTTTGGATTTCTGATATTATAGAATAGCTTCTATTGCTTTCATCATCTACTTCAACTGTTCTTACCAGTCAAGTCAGACAAAACTGATCCTGTTTTTTGAGAGCTTCAAAGTGATTTGCTGGTATAAACTTACAACTTCTGGATTTTTGAAATCTTCAGTTTCCCAATTTTAAAATTCTTCTCTAGGTTGATTTCCTTTTTCAGGTCTCAGCAACTATTTGTGTAAACACAAGAAACTTTGATGTGGGTCACTAGTAAAGTGGTTAATCTGAGTGACAGCTCAGTAATTATTTGAAGTATAAATCATTTTGTGGATGACTTAATGCTAAACATTGAGCCACACAAGGTTATTCATAAGGCAGAACTGTATAAAGCAATTTAAATTGCTTAACATGTGGACCAAAGGCAGTCTTAAATTATAAGTTGTTATTACTTGAGTATTTCCATTGCTTGCTTGCTCCCTTGACATGTGGATCAAAGATATTCTTGAATCTAAAGTTGTTATTATTACTTGAGCATTTCCATTGCTTAATTGCTTAACATGAGGACCAAAGACATTCTTGAACTTTAACTTATTACCCACTTGAGCATTCAGATTCAAAATTATTTTTTGATATCATTGTGTGGGATTCATTCACTTGGTTCTACATTTGCCTTGATTGTTAGCTTTATGACTATTTGTTGGTGTATAGAACTGGCACCAATTTTATTAGGAAATTATTTGCACCTCTGTCAAGGATGAGCATGACACATTCCATCAGACCAGCCATTGGTCCGGTATGGTCAAGTATTACAGGTTAGACACAAGTCTCTGGTTCCCAATGTCAATTTGAAGCCACCCTCCAGCCATGTTGTGATTTTTTTGACCCTGAAGAGTGGTCATCAGATTGTAGAAATCCGGAAACTCCCTGTTGGTCCACCGGTGAGTTTGTCATGTGAGAATTGGATTAACAGAAAAATAAATAACCAAGTCGATTTGATTTTGAAAGAACAAATTTTTTTTTTTTATATATGAAAGCAAACACACAAAAAAAATAATTCTTGTTGCACAAGGTTTCTTGTATGTGAAACCAAACAAACACAAATACTTTGAATAAGTTCGGTAAGGAGAGATGTGGTTTTCATTTTAACCCTTTTTGGTCTGTTCTTAGCGCAACTACTACAAATTTCAATGTTTCCGTTCTAAGTATTTGTAATAGTAGTATTAGTAGTAGCAGGAGTAGCAGTACTTAGATGTATCAGGGGTATTTTTCTCCTTGCCTCTTGTTCAGCAACACACAGTGGGCACCTTTTTAATGACTGATGTCACTCCACTCAGTTTGACTGCATTTGAAGACAGACAATCCGAAACTCCCTATTTTCCCTATCACCTCTTTATATAGAGAACTGGTGACATATCTGTTCTTCTAGTGTGAATGTACTGACATACTTTCAAAGTACAATTTCACTCCTCTCAGAGTAAACAGTTTACTTTTCATCGATTGGTTTCCAAGGTCGACAACAAAACTATTGTTTATCACCTCACTATCAACCACTCTGCAGCTTTTTGTAAACTACAGAGAGTCTTGTTTCAAAAATAAATTCTAAATCAAAACATCCTTATTTTAATTTTGATTCTTACAGTGTCAAAATCTATTTCTTTTTCTAAAAGCTCCAATTATCATTATCTCAGTAATTTTCTATTAGTAATCTGATATCCTTTGTACACTTACAAAAAGACTATTTCGTGTTCTAAATTAACTTTCTGTAACATTTATATTTCAAAGTCTTTACAGCATTTTTAATATTTTGGTTCTTTTGAAAACACCTTTTTTTCTGTTTTACAGAATATTCTCCTTTATTATCATTATTATTATTTCAGGAGTGTTATCGCACCCCACCATAATATTACTCTGTCAATATAGCATGAAGTTGTCTTAGAACAGAATACTAGACTATGCCCCAATCTTCTTGCAGTTATTAAAGACCTCACAGAATGAAAATCATCTTTATTGATTACTAACACAATCGTATAACAATATTTTAAAATAAATGCTTTCCCAGAGTTTCAAAACAAGATATTTGTTAATTCTACATCCCAGATTCCAAACCATATACTGATTTTATCTATTAAAAACAGTTTCCTAGAGTTTCAATAGAAACAAAGAGATGTTTAACTCTTCTTCACTGATACCAAACTGCATTCCGATTTTATACTGTTATGGAAACCTGGATAATTTTGTTTTTAATTTATTTTGACTTTGATTTTTGTTATATTCCTTTCCTCTATCAATATTATTTCTGCCTTTACACTTTACAACTATGCAAATGTGAGTTCCAGACTGAAAGTAACATGGAGTAGGGATATCTCATTTCAATAGCAGATATGAGAAATGTGATGGTATAAAAATAACTTGAATTTCATACAAAAAGTATTTAGTTTTGTTAAGTGAATTATATGCAAATCAAAAAACATTTTTAATACTTTTAAAGGTTTTATTGTAATAAAGATTCATAAAGAAGTTCATTATCTGATTTAAAAAGATATTTATCTTCTAATGCATTATGTTTTTTTACAGTGAAGAGATTGGTAATAGCCAGGTTAGCATAAAAGTAAAATTTAGTAATTTATAGTGCAAAGTAAGAAAGTTCTGTGTGACTATGCTGTTATGAAGTGGATGGTGTTCCAACTTATAAGAGAAGATTAATGGCTGTTGTTGGCAGTTAGGCATCAATGGGCCTGGTTTGGTGACAGAGCCAAAAAGAAGAATGAAAAAGTGTCTCTTTCTTATAATGTAATCCAGTACAATGGAGAAAAAGAATGAATTAAAAATGTTAATTAGGTTTCATAAGTGAAGTTTGATATGAGATTCTCAGAAGACTGAAAGTGAATTTAACTTGAAAAATCCAGTAAGAATGAGTATAAATGAATATCAGTCCTAAGCCTGTGCAATACTACCCCAGCTTGGGATTCACTGACATTTCAAACCCTTAATAGGATTCGTTTTAATCTGAGTGTTGGACTAGCGCGTAATAGGGATTTGCTTCAATTAGCTCCACCTTGTTTGTTAGTGGATCATATTTATTGTGCTGCACATAGTGCTTCAGCAGGACCATTCTGGGTTTCAAGACCCATGAGGCAAGCAAGGTTCCGCCAAACTTATTCATCGAAAAGGGAGAAAATTTTCATGTGATGTTGCATTTGTTGATGTGCATACAAGAGTTTGGATGGTATACAGCAACACAGGGAAGAGATTCTCCCATTCAATGATTTGACATTTGCAGTATGTGGCAACCAACTGTACAGTTTTCTAAATTATGCCATTATAGTATTTTATAGACATTTTAATGTCATCACTGATGACCTGGTAAGAAATGTCACCCATACTTCTTGAGCTATTTGTGTTTTTTCTTTTTGTTTTATTTTAAACAGACATTTTCCTTTGAGTTTCTCTCTTTGGGTAAACATCTAAACTTGGTTTTGTTCTTGGCAACACTTTAATTTCACTTTTAGAAAATCATTCCATTCCAGGGCCCTTTTTGTATACTAGTAAAATTCAAATTTACAATGTAGGCTTTTTGCATTAACCCTTCAAGTTACCTTGTTCCAACTGGCCACCAGGTGACTTGTAAAATCCATACCAGTAATACTGTTACAAACCTGTTTTTTTTTCCTAGTCACTTAATGCTATATTCCATATTATATTATATATTAGCTATTTAATTATTTTTTATAACTTGTACAATTAGACATTGGAAATAAAGAATTTATTTTGTAACTACTCATCTGTTGTAATGTTGTCTTTATTCAAAATAGCTGAGAATTAGGAAGCCAGTAGTTAGAGAGATAATCAAAGGAACAGAAGACTAGGTAAGGAAAACAAAGAAGGGATTTATTACATACTCATACATAGAACAGAAAAACTTGAGTAAATATCCTCAAATTCTACTCTACTTACCATATTTAAAAGTAGGAGCAGTCTATTGTCACAGTAGAAGGGAAGAGAAGAATTAAAACTAGCACATATATACTAAGACCTATGTCTACTCAGCCTCATACCTGGTTCTTATATACCAGGTATTCTTATATGACAGGTTAGTATTTACCCAGATGCTATAGACTATCAGTACTTGTACTTAGCTTAATCCAATAATATATATAGTAAGGTGGGGGTTATATACTATCAAATACAGTATGTTTCAACTTTGTTTTTATTATCTATTATTAGGGATTGAAGCATGTATATAATTGGGTCATATAATTACTTTACTTGATTAATTCTCTTTGTAAATTTTAATAGTTACAATGTGGTTCATGAAAGTTCTCAACAGTTCAATAGATAATTCTTGTAAGGAAACTAATTTCCTCTGGAGTTTAAAAGAGTCTGAAAAGAAAAATCCTAATCATTAAATATTTATCTTAATTTTGTCAAACAGAAATCTTTCCTTGCATATTTTTTTCAAATTGTCCATTTTATGTACAATAAAATATAGTTTCTTACCTGACTTCAGTTGGGTAAAGCTCAGGTGTGTATAAAAATAAACCGCCAAAGGCTGATCCCGTTCCTAACATTGCCAACATAAAAAACACCATGAAGAAGATGTTGATTTCTTTACTTTCACCTATAAAAGCATTTTTTCAGTTATTTGTAATATTCCAAAGAGAAACAATTTTCAAATTTGCATACATTTTATTCTCATAAACAAATCAATCCATTTTAATTTTTATTTTATGAACTCAAAGAACTCAGTCTAATGGTAAAACAGAAACATGTGAAACAAAACATTATTTTCTGAATGGTTTAATATATGAAAAATGGCAATCTGTGATCAAGCTGACTAATTTTCTCCAGTGTATCTCTGGTGATATACTAGAAAATCTAAGTAGATCTATTTTCATAACACTGCCTAAGAAGCTGGGTACAAACAAACATTGACTCCATTAGACACTCAGCCTATAACAATATAACAAAACTTATAACAAAACACACAGCAGAATCAAACCAGAAATAAGACAAGAACCATGTGTGTCTGTTAAAGACACTGGAACAAGGAATGCAATATTTATGCTCAAAATGATATCAGAAAGAACAATACAAATACAGGAGAATGTGTACCTATGTTTTATAGATGATGCAAAAGTGTTTGATAAAGTCAGTCACAAAGAACTGTTGAAACTGCTAAGTAACCTTGACATATTTGGGAAGGATGTTAGAATAATCCAGAACTTATACTTGCAGTAAACTGCCTGAATATGGATAGAAAATGAATTCAGTAAATATACAAAAATAGAAAGGGGTGTAATACAAGGATTTGTCTTTTTACTGGACTTATTCATCCTAAACAGAGAATTAGAAGTCCAACCAGGTTTCATTATTGGCAGCTACGATCTTAGATAAGATATGGAGATGAAACAGTATTGATAGCAGACATGGAAAGGAAACTATAAGAATTCCTACAGAAGGTAGTGAAGGAGAGCAAGAAGAAAGGACTAAACATCAATTACAAGAAGATGGAATGCATGGGTGTTAGCAAAAGGAACAACCCAAAGGATGAAAAGTGTGACACTGAAATCTGAAGGTGCATTGGGATAGTGAAAGGTGAATTCCAAAAGCTGAACCAAGTATTAAGAATCAGGAAAATTTGTTAGAAATAAAGGAAACGTTACTGAATTGTTATGTAATATCAGACTTCCTATATGGCAGTGAATATTAGACAACCTTCTCACAGATGAAGAAGAGACTTGAAGCAACAGAAATGTTCTACAGAAGGATGCTGAGAATACCATGGACCAAACATGTGAATAATGAGAGTTTTAGAGAACATGGAAACAAAAAGGACACTTATACTTAACAACAAGAGACTGTTGAAAATTCTAGAGCACATAATGAGGACAGATAGCTTGAAAAATCTGATACTCACAGGACAGATTGAAGGCAAGAGGTACAGAGGAAAACCTATAACCCATTTATAGATCTTTAGTAAATGGATGGTGAAACAAGGTTTAGGAGAGATAACAAAAACTTATTAAGAGCTACAAAGGACAGGGAATTGTGGAGAGCCATGATCGCCTACACCCTGAAGTGAAATGCCTGTCTTTGTCACTCCAAACTGTGAGTGCAAGTTAAAATCATGAAGTTGAAAATAAATATGAGAATTTAGCTGAGTGGTGGTTATAAAAATAGTAAGCTTTGTAAGTGAATTGCTAGATATCTAAAATAGAAAAAGATCTTTTAAGGTGGAAAAAGTAAGAAGTTATAAAATTAGAGACAAGGACAAATACAGGGAGGGTATTGAGGTGGATAGGATAACCGAGAGGCCATCACGATCACCAAATGTTAGGTCTGAGATTGTGATGGCTTCACCAAACTTTCTTGTGGGGTGTACTGAAAGATCTTGTTTACAGGCTCAAACCTAAAACACTTCCTGATTTAAAACAAGGAATTTCTGATAAATTTTCGAAAATTAATATAGAAATGGTTCAAATGGCTTGTAGAAGTGTTGCTGATAGGATTCAGCATTGTATTGAACATGAAGGAGAGCATTTTGAACAGTTTGTTAATCATAACAAGTCATGTTTTCATGTGACAATACTTATAAATTTTCTTAAACTACTGAAATTTATTTTTGTTCAATAAAAGTTAATAAATAAAAAAGGGTGTTACTTTTGCCACATTCTGTATGTCTCTACAGCCATGTCTATACAGTAATTGTTAGCTTGCACACTTTTGATGAATGGCTATACATCAGAACTATACTGTATCCCACAAGGGATACAGATAGTGAAAAGACATACAGAAACAGTAACACTAACAAGAGAATCACAACTACCCAGGTTTCTTATTCCACCTCATTGACTGACAGTTAAAAAATAGTTGTCCTATTTCCAATGGCCACTGCAATGAAAGTTATTACAAGGTCATAAATCTAATATGAGATTGATGCAAAACTGGTCACTGCACATGCAAGTCAACAATCATTCCACATATTCTCATTGTGCCTAGTAATAAACTGTTTCTCTTCATTAAGCAACAGAGGCAATTCACAATTCAAGAATCTTTTGAAATGGCTGTAAACAGGGACACACTTTAGTCTCATATTGGCATTTACTAAAAAGTTACTTCTGATATGGCCAACTTGGTAAAGTTTAATAAGTGTACTACCCACTCACCCCTTAAAAAAAAAAAAAAAAAAAAAAGGTGTATCAAAAGGACAGTTTTTCTCTTGACACCACAATTGCATACTCCTTTTATTGCTGCTAATTTTAATAAAGCACAAAAATATCTTAACTGGATTTATACATTTTTATCTTTAAATATATTTTTAATCAACTAAAGTGAATTTATGTGGTGAGAATAAATGAAAGAAATGTTTGAAAATGCATTTTTTCAAAATTCATAATTAGTTACTCAGCATTATGTGCTTATTTAAATTTTATTGTTCACAGATATTTTTATAAATCTAAGAATTAAAAAAATTGTTTTCATAGTTATTTCTTTATCATATGATAAATATTAAATATTGCATTGCAGTTGATTCACATATTTTTGTGATCTTATAAATATAAAATTATTCTTGTAAATAAACAAACTAATAAATAAATAGTGTTTAATGTTTTTGTTGTCAATTCTTGAGATATTTATACTTACATATGTTTGGGTTTTATTAAAATTATAAAAATAGCCTTTTTAAAACAAAAAAAATAAAGTGGTGTCAAGAGAAAAACATCCTTTTGATACACTGTGTTTTGCTGGATATGTTTGTTACTAGCTCAATGTAGTTATTGCTATTTTCATAGCATGCTAAGTAACACATGGTAATTTTTTCTCTCTTTGTGATTATGCCTTTGCATCAAAGTTGGTATAGTCCAGTGGTAACATGTATAATCTTAACATTAAAAGCTAATTTGTCATCTAGGTTATTTGTCTAGGCAGTAGTAGTAAAAAGCTATTTTTAAAACTAATGTTTTAAAGCTGAAAAGATTTACTCCCCCAACCCACATCACCAGAGTACTTATATAGAGAAAAATAATGCAAAATATTTTAGGTTTTCTTCATTACATTTTTCTAAGAGACTCATTTCCAGGTATAACCAGATGACATTCAAAATTATCTTTTGTATCAATATCAGGGTTTAACCAGCAATCATGAGACTATGTTTACTTCTCTTACCTCCAAATCCCTTTAAAATAGCAGCAATAATCAAGCAGAGGGATCCAAATGAACTCGCTGTAGCCAATGGTTTCTTGTGTCCAAATCTGAATAAATCAAATAAAAATATTTTGAAATATCTGTAATGATTTCTCTTCAGATATTCATAAGATTACATAGTATTTAATAACTAATTTAACAGCAATAAAATTGTTCAAGCATTTTGAATTCACTGATTTACCATATTAAAGATTTAAAAGTTGTAGGATCAATTTTCTATATTAAATAAAAAATAGCTTTTTAAGCTGCTTTCTTTTACTTTCATCAGGCAATTTTTTACCATTACAACCTACCTTTATAAATATTCCTTTGCAATCTTTTATTTTTCATTTGTTTTTTAACTTTGAAAAAAGAATGTCATAAAATGCAATAATTGATTTTGAAAAATTATATTTTCATGAATATGAACTAAAGGAGTGACAATATATTTGACAAGAATATGATTATTATGTTACAGTGATTCCATTGGGAAATGCATGAACAACACACACACATGTATGTATGCACATTCACTCACTACACATACTTTGGACCAAAACGGTTTTTTACATTCATTTGACACACACATCTTTGTCACTTGTAACCCTTTATTGTTAATATATTATCATTTGTTTGTACATATATATTGGTACTATTGGTTCTTGTTATTTCTTTATGTGGACTCACATCCTGAGTCTACCATGTTTGTTTGTGGGCATTTCAGGACACACATGGGTTTATCTCTCAATGCATACACCAGCCCACAACAATGGGATTAGTTTAGTTAATAGGTAATTATAAAGAGAGTTATAACTATAGCTCATGGGAAAATTTGAGGCAGTGTACATAAGATACTATGAGTACCAAATTTGATCATCATAACAATTTAACCAATATCTAGCGATTAGATATTAACTCCTTCATTTCATTCTTACTTTTAAGTTATTTCTATTTAATATCTTCCTTCATGTTGGGGAACTTCTGAAATGTTTATCTACAAATTTTGGGAAGATCCTTCCTACATTTATTTTTACCTTTAATGCTCTAATTTTACTATTTTTTAAGTATTATCAGGGAATGATTTGATTGACTGTTTATGTACTTTAACGTGCTTACTTCTTTTATATATGGTTTCTATTTTTCAGAATTTAAGTCCAGGGATTAAATCTAAAAAGTTAATCACTTTTACTTTGGTCATTGAAGTAATTTTTTCATTGTGGTCTTTAAAGAATTTTTCTAATTCTTTTCTTCATTCAATGTTTCTGTTAGCAGTGTTAACCATCATCCCTATAAAGCTTTTTATTGTTGATATCAAATATGAGTCACCACATTAGACCACATCCACTATTTTGCATTGTCTTTACAGAATCATTTTTTCTGTTCACATTGTTCCATTGGAGTACAACATATTTTTGGGGGGACCCGTTTTATTCTGATTGAGCAGTCTTTACTGGGAGTTGTTCTGGTTTGTGGTATTTGATGGCTTGCTACTTATTTAGTTTTTATATATGGTTTCTATTTTTCCGAATTTAAGTCCAGGGATTAAATCTAAAAAGTTAATCACTTTTACTTTGGTCATTGAAGTAATTTTTTCATTGTGGTCTTTAAAGAATTGATCATCAATCTTTATAGCAGCTATTTACCTGGTTTCTTTAGCCTAACTTTTGGGCATTTTTTATAAAACTTAGTGACTGTTGTTATACAGTCTATCATAAGTATCAATATTGATTTTATAATACTGTCATCTTTAATGAGTATTTTGTCATTTTTTTTAATATTTAACACTTCATTTTTTTTGTTTCAGGCCATTAGAAAAGTTAGTGAATTTAATATTATTTACTATGAAGAATAAATCTTTCTTGAAGCTCATTGGTTGATCATCTTACTCAAATTGAATTTGTAATGTTCAGTTTCATTTCGATCCTCTATTTCTTTTGGGTGGTTAATATAAAAATAGCTCCCATCTCATTTGTTTTATAATGCTCTTTATCTTGTGTAAGTTATGTTCTTTCTGAAATAATTAATGTTCATAGGTTCCATCATTGTGCAAAGGTTAATAGTAACTATTCCCACACTTCAAGTTTTTTATTTATTCATTTTTTTCACATGGAAATGGACTACTCAATTAACTTAAATAAAGGAGTGTAAGGACAATTATATGTTTATGCCTGATTACCATGCACATTAAACTTTGAGTAGCATTGAGTGGTGAGGAACAGTGCCATAACTTATTTTTAATATATATGCTACACTAGCAGCATGGCCCAGCGTTGCCCGTGCTTGATTCAAAAATCGTATGACTCATACAGCAATCGCTATCAATTGACTTAAAATATTTTTGCCCTTCCTTGCCTTTAAAGGAGTGCCCTTTGCCGTGCTGATGTTGCTACATGCCTTACTTCTTGCCTATCTCACAATTTTTTTTATTTTTTATACTAAACATTAAATCTCTTAAAAAAAGAACTAACCAAAATGAACACAAAATGATCAGCTTTAAAAAAGGACTCATAACTGGAAAAACTGAATGAAAAAAGAATGTTAACAACAAATACTTTTTCACACCCAACCCAGTTCTGTGGAATCAGAATCAACGTTGAGTTTAAGCAAGCGAATGAGCCAATTGGAGTAAAGTGCCATGCAGATTTAATTTTTCCCACTTTTGATGAATGCAGCTATCAATTTTTTTTGCATGCTAGCATGCTAGTTAACATTCACACTGGCAGTAGAATCTTCCTGCATTTTTGTGGCAGCCAGCTATAGGCTCTCACTCTGGCCAGTACAAAATGGCCACAAACTACATGAAAACTGCTGTAGAAGCATGAAAAAAAATTGATTATTTCCACTATCGATGGGAGTTGGGAAATGCAACGTCAGTCTTGACCTTTCCACTAACTTGGAGTATGTGCATGTAAATTTTGGTGCAAATCCGTCAAAAATTGTGGCCATGCATTCGTTACACACACACTCACACATCCTGCGTTTTATAGATAGTGATATTTGTTACTGGCAGCAGCATGTGGTGTTCCTTCATAGAAACAATGAATATCTGACAATTCATGAGTTAAAGGACTAATATAGTCAATAAAATACTGCTTAATTCAATGAATATAGTATCCCAGGCAAAAATTATGGAATTAAAAGTTTACCTTTTAGTAGTAAATAAACTAATAACAGATAAGATGTAAAACTTTTTTTTATTTAAATATTATTCTGGCTTCATGAAATATACCTTAAACAAAGTAGATTAAATTATTTAAATTAAGGCCATAATTTTTTTCTAAGACATGCAGAGAAAAATATTATGGAATAAATGCAATACTGAGAGAAAAATTATGAAATTCAGCAAGAAAAACAGAATTAATACTCAGTTTGCCTCTTCCTGGCCTTTTATGACAGCCTTAATTATTTCAGGCTTGAATTTTCACTTTTTAAAATGTTGATCAAACTTGGCTATTACTGTGTCCAAGTTATCTTTGTTTTCTGTTGACGTGATTTGAAAACCATTGTAAACTATCAACACGTTTGGTCTGATAGTATGAAGAAATAGTGTCATTTGGTATTCCTTATTCTGTTTGCGCAGTTTGGCCATGATGCTGTAATTATTCCATATCTGTAGCATTAGTCCAGCTTGCCCAGTGGCAATATGTTTGACTGGAATCCTTCTGTCATTTTCACACATGTGATCACTTTTTTTTCACCATGTTATTGTCACTCCAAATGTTGGGCACCACTGAAACAGCTTACTGCTTTTTTGTTAGTATCAGTACTGAATATGGGAATACACATGTCTGAGGTGTTGACCTCATGAATGTTCATGATCTAAACACAAACATATTTCTTCCTCTTGCAATTCTTTGCCAATATTCACAACTTTGTTTGACATTTTATTAGTCTAGTGCTAACTACTTGACCTTGGTAGTGCTTGCTAGTCAGTTGCTTTACGTCTTTATTAGTACTATTGTTAGGGTATCCCTACCAGCCACTGCTCAGTTAAGTCTATCCTCAAATGTCACCACCATCTGAGTTTTATCTAAGAGTGAGTCATTGGCTATATTTCACAGTGAACAATCTAATCTTATATTTTAAATTTGCCCACCATGTATTCTCAACTGCCACATACACAAATTCATGTTGAATTAAGGAAAACAAATATTTCATGCCATCAAAACAGTGCCCTCAAAAGAACCCAGATACTGAGATGAGTCCAGCACCAAAGATAACAGAAAGATGTAGGTCTTCTCCCAAACTAGACACACAAGGTTGAAGTGTTTTCCTTGACATGGCAAAATACTGAAAGCTTTTTAGGTTACAGTCACAGAGTTCATAATCTCCCATTGCTATGCCAGAACAGCCAAGCAGAGATGACACATTTTCAATGGGGCCAAACAAGGTAAAAAAGACATCCAGAGGATTGTCAGTAATATCGAAGGGGACCCTGTGCACAGTTACTTTTGTCTATTAGGTCCCCCATATACTCAGTCTATATCCTCAGTGTCTTAGTAGGATATTCCCAACTGACTTGGACAGGTAATATCTGGGTGTAGTCTGTCCCATGAGGCATAACTCCTCTAGCATAAATAGGTGGCAAATATTTGGAGGCATTTTAAAGCCTCCTCCATATCTTTTTTGGTAATACAGAGAAGTTTCCTTGTTTTTACATCTGTAGTCACACATCCTGGGTGTAATATTTTTGAGTACTGATTGTATAGCCAATAATTTGTTCCAAGATAAACAGTTGGTATATTTCCTGGATGACTGTATAGTATTTTGTGTATTTTTTGGGTTTAGATGAGCCCAATTTAAAAGTTGCATCAATGACTGACGTATAAGGTCTACGGTTATCATTGGTGAGTTAGCTATTGTCTCTCTGCTATGGTAACCACCAAAGATAGCCACCAAAAAGTCTAACAAACAAACAGAATTAATAAGAAAACAATTAAACAAAAACAACACTTAATAAGTAACAAAACACCAGTCAAACTAGGAAAAATTTGACTTACATTGGATATACCCAACAACCTTCTGGGGTCTGCAAGAACTCTCTTTTAATCGTAGATTAATTTGCATATCTAGGTTTCTGCTTTTAGGAATGCAAATTACAAGACTGTTCCATAATTTTTCCTCAATATTAGGTTAGTTAATATTTTCTCTTATGGGAAAAATTTTCCCATTAATTTAAATAATTTAACCCAGTTTATTTAAGAGATATTTTATGAAACCAGAATTAAATTTTTTTCACCGTATCAGTTATTTGTTTATTTACTGCTAAATAAAAAAAACTAAGTGACCAATATCTCTCAATGTACAAATTCCATGATTTTTACCAGGGATTGTAGCATATATGAATGTACACGTTCATAGACATGTTTAGAAATTGTATATAAATAAAAATATCCATAAAGCATATGAACACAAGAAAACATTATTCAGGAAGTGCTCTCTTTATCACTTTTAACCAAATGATTCTGGTATGTCTGCATAAGTTATAAATAAGTGTAAAATGAAAGGTAAAGCCCAGCATCCAGAAAAATGTTATATTCAGGGAAAAAAAAAGAAGACATACCTGACGATGGTTGGCCAATAGATTATACATGAAATAATTTCAATGAGACAAAGAAAAAGGAAATTCAGGTAGAGGTCTCCAGATAATGTCTCAGATAAAATGAAAAAACTGTGGTAAGTCATTGTGATAGCAAGCCTAAAAAAAATAGGAAATCAGTATATTAGTATATTTGTATCTAAATATGTTCCAATGGTGTAAGTAAAGATAGTTACTGTAAAAATTTATCTTAGTACCCACAGATCAATTTATAATCCACTACACTTTGTGTTACATTTTTAGTATTTCTACATTGTTTCTAAAACATTAATGTATGAAGTCCTCACTACAATATACTTTTCTTGTATGAGCAGATACATTGCTAGTGAAAATAAATGCAACTCGGTCTAAAACAGTCTTTGAAAGTAATTGGCATGACTAATATTATTTTATAGATGTTGGTCTTTAAGGCATTTACAAAATGCCATGCATAAAGGTAAAAGAGGAATATTTTTCACAGGAAATATTATCTTTGGCAAAAATATATATGCGTGTAATTTATTCTGCCTACTTGTAGACGTATAAATATGTTTAACTAAAAAAAATAAATAGAATAAATATTAAGGGTTGAGGAAATGTTTAGAATCAAAGTAAAGATAATGATAATAGTGTGGGTTAGAATTTTATGTTTTTATTAAATACAAAAGAATAACTACTGTTTTTTAAAAATAAATTATGCATCTGATAGAAAGTACAAGGTGTTTCATAATTTCCTTTGTTATTAGAGATTTAAATGCAAATGATGGGAAACCTTTTCATCCTAAGATGTATAATTTACTTAAAACAATAATTGCAATATTTGCTATGATTGTTTAAATAAAATAATTGCCTGCATGAGGAAAAAGAGTAGGAAACTAAATAATCTCTTTTCTTTGCTCTGTAAATTTGTTTATGCTACACATGTCCATCTTAATGCACTTCCTTTTATATATTGTGCATTTGATTTTATATCTAACCATATGCTATATGCTACTAGTAATTTGTTCTTTAATGTTGCAGCAATAGCATAGAGAATAATTATTTTGGTGTTTTAGATTTTTATTGAGAAATGAATTCTGATAGATTCAATCAGATCTGTCCACAGAAAAAGTAAGTACTTGGAGTGTTCATTTTATGTGCAACAATTCTATCTTAGAAACCAACATGCAGTGATGAGTTTTATGATTGAAAATTAACATCAAAGCTCAAAGAGAAAACATTTAATTTTTGAAGGTTTGTGCACACAGACTTCTTGTACCCACAGAAATAAAACATAGACTTGAACAAAATGGACGTCATTATTGAAGCATCAAAGATTCTTTCAGGTAGCACTTTTTCAAAAGGTATTTGTTGGCGATATACAAACAATCAAGGCACATTAATAATTGAGTGAGGAAGGAAAGTTGGAACGCAATTAAAATAAATAAATTTTTATTGTAAATGAATTCATAAATAAAAACAAAAATAATTGGAAAGTTCCAGAAGAGTATAAAATAGAGAAAAAAAGACACTCAACCGTAAAGAACGCATGAAATTCTCCTTTTGTTTGCATAAGCTTGGCTGGTAAAATTTGATATACACAATCTCGAAGACTGAAATGGTAAACCGAGTGAGCACTATGTATAATGGAAAAGAATGTGACCTCATACTTGGCGGTACAATCAGGAAATGCTAACCAATCAATGAGATGTGAATTGCTTGAGTGGTTCTTAAAATACAGCTATGACGACTTGAACACAAATAAGCGAATATAAGTCATAGGGATATGAAAAGTGGGGGGCGAGGCAAGGAAAATTGGCTCCTGCAGATTCTTTATTTAGGAGTTAATAACTTACTCATGACCTCTGGTTATTTATTTTTATTCATTAAATATTTATTTGTCTTGTATATCTTTTTCTTTCATTATGTGTTTTGGTATTTGCAATAAACATTAGATTAAGATTATAGGTTACACATGAAATGTTCTCAGTTTGACTCACTTTCAAAAATAGTTATTTTCATTGGAAAAACATAGGATAGAAAATTCTAGACATTTATCAACAGTGAGAACTTCTCTTGGATTACTTAACAGATGCTAGTGTATAATATCTAGGAAAGGCAAAATCTTTTTTTAATAAAAATATTTAAATTAATTTTAATCTATTTTTTGATATATGTTCAGTTAATTCTAATTGATTGTGTTGTTCCCCTTCCACTGAAACAATTTCTAGATATTTCTTTTGTGCCATATCCCTTCAGGATGTAGGCGATCATGGTTCTCCACTTCTTCCTGTCCCTTGTAACTCTCAATAAGTTTTGTCTTTTTGTTATTTCTTCCATACCCTGTTCTACCATCCATTTGCTTAAGCCCATTATGTCACATGTTGCTTTCCCTTGTCCCTCTATCCGCCCCGTTAGTATCAGATTTTCCAAGCCCTCCTTTCTCAGTACATGTCCCAGAAATTTCAGCTGCCTCTTCCTGATGTTAAGTATACGTTTCCTCTTCGTTTCCTTGTCGTTGGTCAAATGTTTGGTCCATGGTATCCTTAGCATCTTTCTGTAGAACCATGCCTCTGCTGCCTTGAGTCTCTTCTTCATTTTTGAGGAGATCATCAAACACTTGTTGTTGTAAAGGAGAACAGATATCACGTAAGCCATTCAGTACTCTTTACTTTGTTACCAACGAAACCCTCCTGTCTTGTAATACTCTGTCTAGCTTTTGGAATGTGTCTTTGGTCATCCCAATATATCTTCGGATTTCAGTGTCATATATTCTGTCCTCTGTCAGAACATTTGCCATATATTTTAATTTCTGCACCTGTTTGATTTTAGTGCCCCCAATCTGTAAGTTGCATTTTGGGATCATTTTTTTGCTGATGACCATGCATTCTGTCTTTCTTGCTCTCCTTCACTACCTTTTGTAGGAAGTTTTGTAGTTTCCTGTCTGTGTCTGCTATCAGCACTGTGTCATCTTATATTGTTAATATTGTGGCTGCCATTGATGAATCCTGGTAGGATTTCCAGTTCTCTCAGAATTGCCTCACTGTATAGGTTGAGTAAGTCTGGTGAGAAGACACATACTTGCCTTACGCCCCTTTCTATTTGTGTATATCTACTGAACTCATTTTTTATCTTTATGCAGGTGATTTGCTGCCAGTAGAAGTTTCTGATTATTCTAATGTCTTTCTTAATATATCAAGATTGCTGAACAGCTCTAACAGATCTTTGTTGAACACCTTTGTGTAGTCTATAAAACACAGCTGCACATTCTTTTGCATGTGCATTGCTCTTTCTGATAACATTCTGAGCATGAATATTGTTCCTTGTTCTGGTGTCTTTAATGAACTTGCACTATTCTTGTCCTATCTCTGGCCTGACACTGCTGCGTACTCTATTAGTTTTGTTATGTGGCTCATTAGGCCGTTTTTTTTTGGTGGACTTGACATTCGTTTGTGCCTGGCTTCTTAGGCAGTGCTGTGAAAATAGATCTGCTTAGCTCTTCCCATATATCCACTGTTGCAGATTTCATTTATTATTTCCGTAATCTTGTTTATGCCCAAAATCATCTAAGGCTGTCAGTGTTTCTGTTACAATCCTGTCTGGCCCTCCTGCCTTGTTTCTGTTCAATTTTGCCAGTGAGCTTCTACTTTGGTTTTTAGAATTTCAGGCCTGTTGTTAGTTCTGTGTATTGCTGGTTGTTCTCTTTCATCGTGGAAGAGTTCTGCAATATATTTGTTCCAGTGCTGAAGAATTTTTTCCTTCTCTAATATGAGCGTTCCATCCTAGGATCTTATGTAGCTTGTTGACGAGCAAGTCTTCTGTCCTGTTAGTTCCCTTATTAGTTTATGCATATCTCCTTTGTCAGGGTTAGTCAATCTATCTCTATTTTGTTTAGACACTCTTCTTTAGCCTGCCTGCATTTTGTCCTTATTCCATCGTGCAGTTTTCTGTATTCTGTTCTGTAGATTGGCAGATTTTTCTGTCTCCTTTGCATCATGTTGAGAATCTCATCAGTCATCCATTTGTTTTTTCTTCTTCATCCATTCTCCTTTGGGATGATATTGTTTGCTGATATCACTAAAGCTTGTGTCCCTTCTCTAGTTTCCATTTCGTCCCTTGTATCTTTTTTCACACTGTCTATATATTTTTCCTTCAGGTTTGGGTTACTCAGGAATTTGTGGTATTGCAATTGGAGTGCTGTGTTAGGCTTCTTCGGTTTCCACAGTTTCACTCTTTGTTTACAGGACAATGGTTGTTTCTGCAGAAGGCACTTGGGTAGGTTTTGCAGTGAACCATTGCATTTCTGAATCTTTTGTTGATAGTTATGTCGTCAATTTGGTTTTTAGTATCTCCTCCCTGGCGTCTCCATGTCCATAGTTGTCTCAGATGTTCTTGAAACCATGTGTTAGCTATTTTTCTCCACATTCGTTGTGGGTTCCTAGTTTGAATTTGCCAGCTGTCTCTCCTGCCCTCTTCCTGCCTACTTTGGCATTCAGGTCACCCAAGATAATTATGACTTCTTGTGATTTGCAATGAGCCATGGCATTGTCTAGCATGGAGTAGAAAGATTTGATTTCTTCTTCCTTACTTTGTGCTGTGGATGCATACACTGTTATGATAGCTATGTTGAAAGGCTTTCCTTTCAGCTTGACTACCAGAATTCTTTCGGATAATTGGTAGTATCTCAGAATGCATTTTTTTAATTCTTGATCAATCCTACTCCTTTATCGTTTTTCTCTCCACCTGCATGTATAATTCTGATTGTCACTGACAAAATCTTCGTTGTTTTGCCACCTAGTTTCTCATAAACCTAAGATGTTGATTTTTAGCCTACTCATCTCCTGTTTTACATTTTCTAACTGGCCACAGTTGTTCAACGTCCTAATGTTCCATGACCCAAAACTTATTTTTGTTTGATGTGAGCAGTTGCTAGATAATGGTCCAGTGACACCTGTCGCTCATGTTGCTCCTTTCTGGGTGAAGAATAAGTTCCAAGGAATTTTATCTCCTTTACACCATTAGTTAGCAAGCTTAATTATTTAATCACTGGACAAAACCAGGTTTGATGAAAGGTTATAATGATCATATTATGTAAGCCCCCAAAATAATCCATTTCTTTTAAAAATGTCATTTCAAATATACTCAAGAAACATTAGGTATAGAGTATATATTTACTAAAGAAGTTATAAATCTATTTTAAATCTATTTCATTTTTGTATTTAGTCTTTGGGAGTTACCATACTTACTGGAAGACAAATGTATAGAATAACTGGATAAAAGTCCTATGTATTCATGTAAATAATTTCCTTTTTAATTTCAAATTTAAAAAATTGAATTAAAATCAGCCACTTACCAGTTTAATACAATAATAAATGAAATAGATCTTGTGTAGGAATATTGCATTATAGCTATGATACCAAACCACCTAGATTTTAATGATTTTCTGTTCTCTTGGTTTTCCTTTTCAAAAACGTCAATCTTTGGTTGTAATTTGGTAGTTTCTTTGTTTTCAGACATTCTCTCTTCAGACATGGAATGTTTGTTGTTTTTCTTGTGAATTTCTACAAGTTCTGTGCATTCTGTTTCAGACAGAATGTCAGTTTGTTCAAGTGCAATTTGCCAGGTCTGCTCATAGTCAGCATTGTTTAATTTGGCTGCATACTGGATCATATCTTTAGCCTTTTTCACTTTCCCTTTAGCAAATAGCCAACGAAGAGATTCCTGAAAAAAACTGGAAATATAATTTTATGATAATTTTAAAATAATGTAGGAGAATATAAATTATGATGTCAAATGTAGTTTTACGGTAATTTGATATGAGGTGCTACTCAAAAGATTAAGGAATTTAACCTTAGAAAGAAAATTACATTAATATTTAATCCCCACCCACTTCTTGAAAGGAGTTCCCTAGAGCAGGTAGACAGTGTGATTATACACACAGGAGACTGATCACAAAAAGTAATGGCAAGAGACTATTTTGTATGTCTGCATACAATGTTCATATTCCATTAATCTTTAGAAAGCATTTTGCATAAAGGTTAAAAGTTCTAAACAAGTTTTATTTATTAATAGACTTGTTATTATTTACTTACAACATAATTACACTACATAGATTATTACATAATACTTATGAAGTAGCAAAATATGAGAATTTATAGCAATAATTTAGTGTAGTAGGAGTAGTAATATTTTATAACAATAAATTGCTATTATGATATTTTGTAACTAAAATATGTTCAAAATAGTGTAATTTGAAAATAAGCAAAATAATAATTGCAAATGTTGTTTTATATACCATCAACTGTTACCCAATTGTTTCAGTCTGTTTAGAAGATTATTTAATTGTGTATTTCTCACTAATACAAGTGTTCAATATTATAGCCTAGATAAAAGCTTGTATTTTGTATGCTGCTTTTCAAAGCAGGAAGACCTTCCCCATTTGAAAGATTGGTATAGCACTAGTTTCCTACTCCCATTTGACTTGGTGTTATACTAAGTATTTTTTATCTAATAGCTTAGTTGGATATTCCATGTAGTACTGTTCACTTTACATGCATCATTATGTTAATTCAATGTGTTTGTCATTTGCATCATCGTTTTCTCAACCACGTTACAATCAGAGGATAAAAACAAAAACCTAAGTTTAATGCTTATGAAAAAAAGTTAAAACACAATTAAACATGCCTCATCATCTGGTCAGGGTGAAATATTTGTCTATTTTAAAACGTCAACTTTTTGTACTTACATAATCTCAATGATTCCATATGAAGAGAAACAAGCACAACAAATAACTAAAACATGCCAACTTTTGTAACGCACTAAGTAGACAGTAAGTTCAAAAATCAATATGGTGAAACTGAAAATCAGGGATGATAATCCAGTCATCAGGTTCCGTTTTGAGGCTGGAAACATTTCAGTGATTACTGTACAGGTTGAAATCAAATAACCCTAAAGAAAAAAAAGAAAGAAAAAGAATGACAAGTGAAGCATCACACAATAGATAATAAAATAAATCCTTGTTATTAAAAGCATTATTAGCAGTAGAAAGAAATCCTTCATTTAATATGTGATTTTTAAACAGTTTTTAATATGAAATGAAACCAAGATTATTTTTTTTTACTCTGCCTTATTGTTATATATTTTAGCAAAATTGGGATACATTACATTCTAGTAGTCATTTACAAAACTTAGCTTAGTTTGGCACAAAGCTACAAGTATGGGTTACAAGTATGAGTTTCCAACTTGGTAGTAATGATCAACTAGACTAGTTCACTAAACATTATGCCATGCTGAACTTACTATATTACTCGCTAGTTGAGATCAGTTTATATTTTCTGAACAAACAGAAATTATGAAACCCCTATTTTGCAATAAGGCATTTTGAAATTATTTTTACTTGCAAATTATTTGACATGCATTTCTACAATAAATAAATTATAAATTATAGTTAAGTGAAATATGAATTTATTATAGTTTTTCCCTTCTTTTATTCAAAACATTTAAAATATGTTTAAAAATAATCATTTGTTTTTGAGAATAAAGATTGTATGAATAAAAAAGGAAAAATATTAATAATAAAAATATTGTCATAAAACTCACCTGAATCAAAACACCATTAAAAAATCTTGTGATTGTAAAAAGCCAAAAAAATGGGGAATAGGCACAGAGAATATTTAAAGGCAGAATCAAAATATTACAGATAATATGGATGGGGCGTCGACCAAAGTATTCCATTTGGATAGGCATAAAAAGAGAACCAATTAATTGACCCAGAATATAAATTGTCTGACTTAATTCTGCAAGGCCAGCTCTTTGGCAGACAAGATCCCACTGGAAATAGAAAAAAAATGAACAGAAATGGAATAATAATAAAAATAATAAAAAGAATTTAATCTCTTATCTTACATGGATGACCTCAAAGTTGAAAGGTCTCCTTAATACTATGTTTCAGTGATGACATCAATATAGACTTCAGATTAGCTAAATGTGCAACAGTAACATTCATGAAAGGATGAATTACTGAAATACATTCAATAGATCTCAATTTTGTGACAACGATTAGGGGACTGGAACAAGAAGAAGTCTATAAATACCTAGGAGTCAGTGAAATAGATGGAAAGTAAGAAAACAATATTACAAAGATGTGCATCTGGTGTTAAATACTGAGTTTAATTCACAAAACAGAATACCTATCAAACATTTTGGCTGTCCCTGTGGTGAAATACAGTTCTAACATCCTTAACTCGATCATAGTTTGCCTTAAGTGAATGGATATCAAAGGATTTTTTATTTGAAAAAAAATAGTTCAAACAAATGTTTAGGTAACATTTAATTTATAAGGTCCAACAACAAAGACAAGGCAACCTGAGCTGAATTTAAAAACAGAGGATAAATTTATTGTTAATGCACAAAAAATAAAGAATTGCACAAATTAAGTGCTTTGCATGCCAAATGATGGCCAATAACATGTATGTAAAAATAATCAATGCAAATGAAATATGCCTTTTTTCACAATAAAAAATACAACTCTGCATAAAGTCCTCAGAAAAGGTAAACAACATAAAATAAAATGAAGAAAGGAGAAAATACTTCTTGGAATAGTTTTCAAAGAATAGGTACAATTTTTGAAGTAAAGTCCATGGTAACAGTGAAGAATAGAACAATCATACCAGCTGAAGATTTTTCTTTGATGTGAGTGTGACTTTGATGCTTCTTTCAATTCTCATCTAGTGGTTGTTAAATTTCTTCTGTGTTGTTTTACTTCCTGAACTGGGGGTGACCTAGATTCATGCAGTAGCTGTTAGTTGATTCCTCGAATTCAATTCCTGGGCTCCAAATTTCTTGGAATTTAGAGGGAAACTTTTCTAAACCTTTTCCAAATGAAAGCTTTTTCCAAATTTAAAACAAACAAATCAAAACGTACCAAAAATATATTTTAAATTCAAAAATTTAAGCAAGAGTCCAATGCAGCATCTGCTTTCTCTCAGAAAAGCTCAAGCAGCTTAAATTTCTTATATTAGAAAAAGCTTGTAACTGCATGCATTATCCTAAGGCCAGTTTTGATCATCTGTAAGTATCCAGATCCAAAGGAAGCAGTGGATTTGTTCAACTGAAACTACATTAAAAAACTACCAGAGTCTTCAAAGTTAACTAGAAACTACAGATACTGGATGATAATCTGTGTCAAATAACATATGAAGAAATAAAAACCATTATTCTGTAAGAAATAAAAACCTTTATTCTTTAAGGAAGCCAACAAATTCAAAGGGGAATTAGAAGTGGATGAAGATAAGCAAGTAAGCCATAATACACTGCAGTGGCAAAATACTTTAAGTATATTCAAAACTAGCAGTAGAGCCCGGCGTTGCCCGGGGATGTAACAGTAAGAGATAGATCAAGTATCAACCATCATAAAGACTGAAAAATAAAATTGACAAAGATTATTGTTTACGGTTGACGGACACGCATGTCTTAATTATTTTTTTTTTTTTACGAATTGGTCAAACCCAAATTCAAACAAAAACATTGTTTACAATCGTTATGAGTCTATCGATTGGTGAATAGAATTTTATTATAAACAATTGTCTTGTAAATGGAATTTTTAAAGCATTCTGAATGTAAATAAAGAAAAAAGTGTGCAAGACAATAAGAAATACTACTTGCCGAAAAAAAAAAGTGGATGTTTGTTTTATTGGCTGAAAAATGTAAGAAATCCGATCCCATATGTAAAGGAACACACATACACACAAACAACCTGTTTTTTTTTAACCTAAGTCACTCCATGGAATCGCTAAAACATAGAGCATAGTCTGATGAAAAAGACGCCAAAGTTTATGAAAACAAAATTTTATCGTTAAAATGCTTATGTTTTTTATGAAGAGGATAGACTAAATTTTTTTTAATTATTTTTTAAAATTTTTCCATCTTTTTAGAATATTCTAAATTTTGATTTAAAAACCTTGTTTCTCTTTGTTGCAACAAGGGGTAGTAAATAACATCGATAATTTTTAGCGCGTTTTTGTATTTACATACATTAATTTGGAAAATCTTGCAAAAATAAAAATAATTGTCAGATGTTAATGAAACTTTCAGAAACTATTCACAGATGATCGAAATTATTATAAATATGTTTTTTTTTTTTTTAAAGTCATGGCAGAAATATTTTTTTTATATTTATTAACACCCCATAACTAATTTTATGAAAAACTCTAGAAATTCGAGATCATCGGTTTTAGTGATTACAATAGTTAAAAGCACAAAGGCTTTGAAGAATGCAAATCATGTTTGTTTTTTTTTTTGGCCAACGTACCTGAAAATCAGCTGTGAATTGTAACATACAAAACTCAATAAAACAAATATATTATTTAGTTTCAAATGCTTTTATTTGTTTTAATTTGTTTTTTTATGAATATGGACAATATTTTCTGAAAGCAAAAATTTTTTTTTCAATGAAAATTGAATTTTCAATACAATTATTTCTTATTTCTTTAATTTTAAAAGATTTTTTAAAAATGTTTAAATTGAATTTTAAAAATATTTTAACATTAGTTAAAAGCAACATCAATCTTTCAAAATGTCGATTGTGAGATTGTCATTGTCTAGCGCTTTGAAAATTGTATAATTTGGACCAATCAGATTAGCCATGGTAATTAAGAAATGTAATTTTTGTGTTTATAGTCGGACAGTAATTATCAAGTACGGAAGACCAACCAGAATACAATTTAGTTGCATTATTTGAGTTCAGCATTGTTCTCCGCTGTTAAGCCCTTTACTTTTATGAAACACGTATGGAGAAGTTAATTTGAGTTTTCAATTTTAACTGAGAAGGGTACCTACAAGTAACAGTATCATCTTATGAAATTTAACTACTGCTAAACTTTAATTTATATGATCTTATTTTTATATTAATCTCAGTTATGACATTTTTCCATAAATGAAATATCAAAATTAATAATAAAATGAATGGAAATACAAATAACACAGTAAAATGTAATAAATGTACATAAAATTATAGTATTTTATGTACACTTCTGATAAAATTTCATAAGAAAGGTACCTAAATTAATTAGATACCTTTTTCTTATGAAATTTAATCTCACTATTAACAGTCTTATTTTTTAATTTCTTTATATTTTCCTTAAAACATCGTAAACGTAAAAATGAAAGCTAAGTACATAAAAAAAAAAAAAAAATAAATAAAAAATAAAAAATTAGAGCGCTGAAAGTTTTCCTTAAAAGTAACAAGGTAAATAATTTGTTCACTTAAATAATTTCACTTCCTTCCATCCGTAGAAAGAATTCTCCTCCCGTAAGTTATCTAAACGTCATGAATGTGCCTTTCGTCAATCGTCAAGCGACGCGAAAGGTTATGACATGCTTTGTTTTATTTTCAAATTACATTTTTTCGGCGCAGAATCTAAGTTAAGCTTGGTTCAAAATATTTTAAATAAACAGTATAATTTCTGTTTTATTAAAATCAGTTTTGAAAAAAATGATAATTGATTTTTAAAAAGAATATCAAAAGTAAGATTTTAATCTTTTTATCAAATCGAAAAAATGATTGAAAATGATTGATTATCTGCCCTTTTTTTACCAAAAAAACAATATTTTTAACGAAAATTTCAGACGTGCTAGGAACGATTAAAAAATGTAAAAAAAAATACCCCAAAATACTTTGATCTTTCCTCTTTAATAATAATATGAACATTAGATGATAAAATTTTGTTTTCGTCAAGTTTGGCTTTTTTTTCATCATGCTATTCTCTTTTGTTTACATTTTCGTGGGTGAGTTGTCCCCCTTTCATTCTCAGGATGTGTCTTAATCGTGTTTTCAAATTGATTTTATTAAAAAACAACTGTATTTTTCCCATTTTCGGCCCCGTTAGAACCACCACAAGGTAATTTCATGTAGTCCTGTGAAGTTTTGTTGAAATCGGCTAAAAAATGTAGGAAATTCGATACAACATATAAACGTTACAGACACACACACACACACACACAATCTGCGTTTTATAATAAGTAAGATATCTGGCCATTCTTACCTGAGATACAATGGATTTATCCACTGGAGTTGTATAGTTGTATCCATTTAGACATTCTAGAATCATAGGTTCTGCTGAGACATTCTGATATTTCTTTGGTTTGATGGAGATATGACACTGAGAATATTCCACTTCATTGTCACCATAACTGATATTGTAAGCTACTAGTTGCGAATCAGTTAGATTACTGCATTGGAAATTTGGCAGGAGAGCTGCAAAAAAAAGAAAAAAAAAAAAAAGAAAAAAAAAAGGCACAAAACAATAAATTGATATGTTGTAAATGGTTCTCAGTTTCATCAGGTGCCTGTAATATCTCTTAATCTTCAGATAAGGGTTCATTATTTTACATTCATTACTTCTATAACCAAACTAGTAATTATTGAGCAGACTCTGATGATGAACAGTTATATTCTAAAGGAGGCTCCTTACTTTGAATGTCTATTTGGACTCAAGCGAAAATTCATATATATGATCTATCACTAAAAATGCTGGTAAAATTGTTGGTTCTTTGTACCACTCCAGTAAATACCCAAATTCTCTTGCTATGCTTTATATTTAAAAGAATCAGATCAGATAAATAATGGAGTATTGCTGCCATATCTAGGGTGGAGCTTCCCAACTGTCACTTTCAAGCCTCAAAAGCATCTATGTTGCCTTGTGGGTGACAAATTATTTTCAATTCTACAACCCCTTTCCCAGAGATGAAATGTTTCAAGCTTCTTGTGCTATTTCCATGGCAAATATTCTGATGAGCTATATTCATTAGTTCCACCAGTTCAGACCTTTACTGCTAAGACCCACCATGCCATGTACACTTGGACATATTATCTCCATTCCCTTTGGTAAGGAGGAAGTTCCATTCAGACAGCTTCTTCCAAAGAACTGCTACTTTATGGAACAGACACCTGAGAGGATGCTTCCCTGATTGCTACAATCCTAACTTCTTAGTTTAGAGTCAATCATTTTCTTTCCTATATATATTCATAATCTGTACTTTGCCATGTATTTTTCACATTTATACAACAGCTTCATTCAATAACCTTCTACCTTGAGTGGTTCTTGGGCCTTGTATTGGATAAATAGTTATATTAAAAAAGAACAATACGCATTTAATGTAGATATTCTTTGCTATTGAAATAAAAGCAGAAATACTAAAAACAGATTAGAATTTATATGTCTTCAGAAAATTTCAACTTACAACTCCCAGTTTACTGGAGCAGGGTAGTAAACCACTGAAGGAGGAATTATTAAAAGAAATAAAATTTATCAGTACATTTAAATGTATCAACTTTTAAAAAATGATTTTTAAGTAAACAATTATGGCATATTCATTTTATAAGAAAAAAAATGTTACATTAGCATTTGTGGAAAACAAAACATTGTTGGCAATCAATATTTAATTAACAAACAATTGTGGATAACTTTGTTAATAGTTCAGTGTTTACTCATATAATATTTGTTAATACAAGTGTATCTTTATTATTATTTTTATCTATTATGTTCAAAATATTTTATATACAGGATATTCCTGATAATTTAAAATAACTTTCCCATATCAAATTTTCCAATAACAGTCATTAAATTTATTTTAAAATCTAATTTAATAGATGGTATAGTGATGCAACACTGAGAATAATAACTGAATATTTTAGAATCAACAATAGCTTTCTTTGCTATTCAAAACTGATTATTTGCAAGATTTTATTTATTTTTTAACTTCCATATTTGAAAATTGACTGAAAGGCAGTATTTTTAAATAGATTAGGAGCAAGAAGTTTGAATCCAAACAAGCTTAACAGATACATGAAAATATTGTGACTAAGAGTAGGGCTCCCAAAGGGGTATTTCAGAGCAAATGGTAGCTTCATATTTTTTTAATACATTTCTAATTAAAAATTAAAAACATGAAAACAATATTTTTTTTTACATTTAGGGTATTTTTCACAGGTTGATAGTGCTTTTTTGGTTTATACCCCAAAGTTGAACCCAAAATTTGCAAATATTCATCATTCATCTCATATAGACATGCAGCATGTGTTTGAAAAACAAATTGTCATCTGATGAAGGTAAGATAAATGAAAATGGGATATTTTCAAAGGGTTTATTATGAAATTGGATTATTCCTAGTTCAATTTTTACTTGATAGTAAAATAAATAAATAAAAATTAACAAATAATAACAAGGCAACCAAAATTTCACCATCTCTAAAAATAAATGTATATTTGGAATCGCCAGACCACAAAGGCATATTTTGACCAACAAATCAGAAAGCTTTCACAACAAGGATATAAGGCTGTGAGCCAATGAGAATCAAAGCAACACCTTCAAAGTGGATAACTGGAGATGTACATTATGTGAAGGAATCAAGCAAAACCAGAATCAATGAATTAATTTTGTCATCATAACAGAGCCTGATGTAACCAACTGAGATGGCTGCACTGTCCTGTTACATTTGAAAACATACACCCTTTCCTTCATCATCTTTTAATCAGCCTGCTGCTACATTTGAAAACTTATATACCTTCCTTCAACCACATTGTTAAGCAGGCAACTACTACATTTGGATACATACATACATACATACATACATACATACATATGATGATAAACTACATCTGGCAGCAAGTCTTCTCATTGGGAGATTGGAGGATTTGAGGAGAGTGGAACCACCTTTTAATGCTGTTGATTATTTGCACCAACTAAGTGTATCAATAGTTTCGAAAAGTGTGGTTGGATCTGCACAAGCCACTTTAATCAAATCACTTGTGTGGGTTGTGATGTCCGTGTCCTTTATCGGTGACAAAGCAGCCCTATTTAGGATCTACAATGCTTTCCTTATTATGGGGAAGGGGTGATAAAAGGAGCCCTAAACATTGCTTGCTCACACAGAGACTTGACAGCCAATAATGCAGTTGAAACAGAGAAGAAAGATCAAAAGAAAATTTCATTTTGGATCCTGGAATGTTCGCACTCTTCAGGACAATGATTCTGCACCACAGTGTAAAACAGTTCTTATTTCTCTCAAGTTAAAAAAATAAAACATCGTCATAGCGGCCATTAGTGAAACACGTCTGGCTGGTAATTCTTGGCATAGGGAAGAAAAAGGGAGATACGTATTTTTATGGGCTGACAAGACTGTGAAAGAGCCACACCAGTCTGGTGTTGGCTTTGCCATCAAGTCAGTCCTTGCTAGCTCACTGCCTTCCTTACCTAAAGGTGTATCTGATCACATAATGGCATTAACCCTCAATCTGGAGTGCAACACCGTGTGACGATGGTTAGCTGCTACACGCCAATCATAGGTAGTTCAGATGAAGAAAAAGATGATTTTTACAATCTTCTTCGGGATGTCATCTCCAAAGTCCAACATAAGGATAAATTAATCCTTACAGGTGACTTCAATGCTTGTGTTGGCAATGATTATCATTCTTGGAAGGTTGTTTTAGCTCACCATGGTATTGGTCATATGAATTCGAATGGATTACGCCATCTCACTATCTGCAAGGAATTTGACCTTAGTATTACTAATACCTTCTACCAGAAACCGAGCTATCGTAAGACCATGTGTATGCATCTTTGTTCGAAAAACTGGCATCTGATCTACCACGTCATCACCAAAAGACGGGACATAAAAGATTTTAAGGTAACGCGTTCATTCCGCATAACATGCTATCTGTCAGATCACACTCTACTTCGGAGTAAAGCTACTGCAAAAGCGAAGGATTATAAAATCTACAGTGCCCAAGCGCATTAATGTACTACCTCTTAAATCGACTGAAACGAAAATTTATTCTCTCTGACAAACTTGATGTTGCACTTTATTCTGTAAACATTACCAATGACATCGAATCATCTTGGAAGGCTCAGTGGGATGCAACACATTCTACATCCTTGGAGGTTCTCGGCCTACCATATCGTAAACATCAAGACTGGTTTGAGGACAATAATACAGAGGTTCAGCAGCTTATAGATCAATTGCACTCTTCTCATAAAGCATGGATTGAGGACAAGAACTCGTCCGATAAGATCATTTACAAGGAGCGCAAAAGTAAGGTTCAACGACCTCTCAGAGCCATGAAAGAGTGTTGGTGGTCTGAAAAGGCCACTGAATTCCAAGAAGCTTCAGATAGAAAGGATCTAAAGGCTTTCTATGCTGGCCTCAAGAGCATTTTTGGTCCTCTGAAAAGTGGTGTTGCTCCAATCTCCACAGCAGACGGTGAAACTCTCTTGACAGATAAGTCAGACATTTTAGATCGCTGGAAAGAGCATTTTGAAACTGTGTTAAGCACCACTTCGGTTTCTGATGAGGAAGCCATCACATCAATTGAGCAAAATCCAGAAATTCTGGAGTTGTCTTTTGAACCTACCTTTATTAATAATCATTGATTTCATCCTCATTCATTGGGAGATTTGTTGTTGTTGTTGATTGTTTAGAATTAACTGTTAACAAGACACATAAATTCTGAAGTTTGTCTTCTTGACTTTATACCATTTTTTGCTTGACAAACTCAGGTCTTTGTAACTTATCTTCTTTAAGGTTATCAACAAAGGATGCAAATTCAGTTTAAATGAGAATTTTTTTCTGATTAGTGCAATGTTTCATAACTTGCATCAGTTCTTCAGCAGATGTAACTGAGCCATTCCATGACTTACAATCACTTGAATCTCTAGTCATATTTTTACATTTGCAGTTTTTAAAAAATTTCATTGATTCTTTTTCATTTTCATCTTCTGATTTTCAGTCCGGATCACTTGTCTTTGTTCTCAAAATTTTTTTGCCAGTTTAGTGTCAGCATTAACAGGTCTGTCTTTGTCAAGCTAATGCTTTACAAAGATATACCAGTTAATCCATTATTTTGGATTGATTTTCCAGTGAATTTCCTCTTACTGCATTTTGTCATTTCTACAGTCAAATACTGATCATGCATTGAATATTGTTGCTACATCTGGTCTTGTGCTTCTACTGTATATGAAGAATCTGCAATGTTATAGGTCCTGACCTGGCATATTGGCTGCAGTCACTTTGTCACTGCCATAACATAGCTTCCATATGCCTTTTCTATAAATAATTAAATTATGGTAATTGTTCTGATGAGCTTTCTTCATTGGTTCCTCAACTTCACAGTATGAATTTAGCAATTCTATCATAATATCTGTCTATATCTTTGAGATGAGGTATTATGATTATCTACATTATTCAGACAGTTATCCTCATCTTCATTGCCATATTCCACATGGCCCAGTGGATAAATACGTTGGTTAGATCCAGTGACTAGACTCAAAGAGTTGTGAGTTCAATACCAGGCTACAGGAGTAGTGAACCAAAAAACATGGAGAGTTAAGGGAATCATGGCAAATGGAACTAGAAAAATCTACACTGGCGAATGAAATAAAGGGTTCGGTTTGAAATTCCAATCACCTGAAGCATACAACGGCTGAAATGTTGTGAATATGGCAATGAAGATGAGAATAATGGTCAGAATAATGTAACTGTAAGTTCTATGCTAATAGTATCTTCTCTCTCAATTCTTGGTTGTGGAACTCTCTTCTTGCTTCCTGTCAACTATGATATTAAAAAATTTAAATGTAACATCAATCATAATCTTCTGTCTCCTTGAATCCTATTCTATTATTGTCCTCTCTCCTCAATAATATTTTATCTGTTTCTTTCAATCAGTAATCCCTTGCATCTTAGTGGTTTTATCACTTTGCTTGGGATGAAATGATTTAAAATAAAATTACTTTCACATTTAAAATTGGCTGTTGGTAATCTATCTAGTTGCTCTTTAGTCAGAGATGGAATGTCTGTAGCTCAATTAGATGATTCAGTTGAAAATCTATACTCTCTTCCATATCCAAAATACATGTAAAAATGTCATATATAGGAGAAAATAACACTGATCTATTTAACATCAAATTATGCTATTAATCACACAAGTAGTCAAATGCTATATTACTTGAAAGACTTTTTTTCAACAATATAAAACAATGCAATATATGAAAATCATGGCAAAACTATCAATTTTGCTCCCCAAAATAATACTGGCAAACCATGAAAATTGCATAAAACTGCATGATTTGAATTTTTAATTATTAAAGGAGGATCCATGATTTTAGTGTAATGCCTATTAGACCCACTCCCTCTTTTACAACTTATATTGTGAATAGTAATAGTTTTTTTTTTTTTAATTGTATTTACCCCAAGCAAACCACTAAGACACAAGGGGTTAACAACAAAATTTAGGTTGTTTTTGACATCAGCCACTAATTTGACTGTATCAAATTGATCAGACTTACTAATGAGACAGGAGAAAATGGTTGTGACATAAAGCATATATGTCAAGGTGAAAGCTGTTAATGAAAATTAAAAACAAAGTAGGACCAAGGATAAAGCCCTGGAGGACACCTGCATTGGTACAAAAGGAACTAGAAGAGTGGCCATTCAAGACAACTTTCATTTCACATTTAGATAAAAAGACTGAATCAGTTCAAAAAGACACCATAACTTGTGAAGAAGATCAGTATGTCAAACCCTATCAAATGCTTTTGGGATATACAAAGCAACAGCCTGAGCTTTACCATTCTTATCTAAAACACAATAATCATTAATACTTCAGAAGTTGAATTAGAAAAATGAAAGCCATATTGCTTGTCTGAAAGAAGGCCCCGTGATGTGAGATGCTTACCTAATTCAGCATTGATTAGGACCTCTAAAAGTTTACTGAAAAGAGGTAGAAGCCAATAGTTGGAAGTGTTCACTAGAGTTCTTAAAGATTGGAACAACAGATGAGGATTTCCAACAAGCAGGAAGGTAAGAGGCAGCAGGGCATTTATTATACAATTTAGAGAGAACAAGAGCAAGTTCAGGAACACACTTCTTAAGGACTATTTACAGGGATACCATCAGGTCTATACTTTTTGGGGATCCAGATTAGAGATGATAGCAGAAACAATGGAAAGTGTTATACGCATATCACTCAAGAGACTCAGTTCTAAGTGGCAAGAATACTCCAGGTGAGTCAAGAGTAGAGTTTAAGGAGAATTTACAAGCAAAGCATTCAGCTTTATCAGCAGATAACACCTCAAATTGATTGAAGAGAGGGTGAATAGAGAACTTACACTTATTAAATATACTATTAAAGACGCCAGTAATCACGAGAGCCAAAGTTGTTTGATGCAATATGGTGCCTCATTTTCTCAGCAAAGACTTAATTCCTTTGAGGACATGTTTAAAACATTAATTAGGTGTGGCTACAAAAAGGCGTATGTTGTGAAGTGGGATTTTTACTGAAATACAGAAACTTGTTATTTCTTTACATTTTTTTACAGTTGTCAAAGTCGATAAAAATTAAAAAAAAAAAAAAAAAAATGAAAAATTAAATACTCTCTCCAATCCAGTCCTTTTATCAGGGGATTTATTTTCTGGAGATTTAATAATTTTCTGATGTATTCATTAACAAGTTAATTATTACTCATTACAACAGATACCTTGCTTTTTTTTTTTTTTTGGTTAGTCAAATTTTCCGATTTTGTTGAAAAGCTTACAAAAATTGTTGGTAAATTTGCTTTTTAACACCCGCGCTAAATATCTCTTAAAATTTTCCCAAAACATCATAATTCCGTGTAAATGTACATGTTGAATTCGAATTAACAATTAAATTATGAAGAAACCTACCGTTTTGGAGTTATCGGCAAAAAAAAAAAAAAAAAAAAATCGAACTTCTTATTGGTCCCCATTACTGCTATCATGAACACTGATTCACTGCGTAGTACTTCCACTGGAGTTTGGCTTATTTACTTTTACAGACTTTCCTTGCAGAAAATCACTACGCACTACCGTAAAGAAATGTAATCTTTTTTTCTTTTTTTTTTGGTAAGTGTAGTTTTATTTATAACAAAAACAAAATACAATAGAACCTTTTTTTCCGTGTTGAATAGCAATGACAAATTAAAAGAACAAATTAAATAATAATACAATAAAGCTTTTTTTTTTTTAATTAAAAAAAAACCCAACAAAACCCTTATTTCGTTTCTAGCATTTTTTTGTTTTTTTTTGTAATTGTATTTTGTACATAATCATGCTCTTTACAAAGTGTTATGTTTATGGGTTAAAGTTTAGGGTTAGGAGGGGTTGGGTTGGGTTTCTTTCTGTGTAGAAAAGGGGACAAATTACAAAAAAAAAAAAGAAAAGAAGGAAATAATACAATAAACCGGGTTAACTTAGGTGCAAAAAATTTTGCTTTTGGTTTGGGATATTTTATTTTTTAATAAGCCGTTTTTTTAAACCGCCGTATTTTTAATTATTTTAAATAAGATTATCATTATACCACGTTTATGTAAAAAAAAAAAAAAAAAAAAAAAAAAAAAAAAAAGTATATTTTCTGCATTAAGAGTCTCCAGCGAGATCACTGGTAAAGTTTAAAATAAATGAAGATGGAAAGTAACTTTTTATTACTTTAAGTTTACTTTAAAGTAAAACATTTTCCCTAGCTTCAATCCAATATTAGAATTACGATTACTTAAACAAATCGAGAAAAGATAAAGTAAATAAAGTCAATTAACAATTGAAATTAACTTTAGCAATTTAATTTCAACATGTGCACCAAATAGAGTAAATAAAAAAAAAAGAAACCTCACACAAGGAGGTGGATGGTGGCGGTACGGGTAATCCATTATTTATGCAAAGTTACTTTGTTTTTTGTTCTTTCTTTTTCAGAATTATAAAATTTGGCGCAAGAACTCTGTATCAATAAGTCAAACAAAATTAAAAAAGAAATTAAAATAAAATAAAAATTAAAAAGATTTAAAAATGTCAAGTTAGAAATTTTAAACAGCTGATAATTTGGAACACTAAATTATGAGAAAAACTTTTCAAACAATTTTTATAAAAAATTTTTCCAAACTTTCTTCATTCAAAGATAAAAAATTTTATCATAAAATTAACTTCTGTTTTGGGCGCTTTTGTCTTCAAAAGAGTGTGGAAAAATAATAATTGTAATAAGACTTTTTAAGTTTCATTTTCGTGGTCGGATAATGTTTCAACTTTTCATTTTTAAGAAGATTATGAGTTAAATTAAAAACCTTCGTAAGTTCAGATTTTTTCAGAATGTTCGTGAAGGTCACAACTTAGTTTTAAAAAGTTAAAAATAAAATATAGGTTATTAATTCAATTATATATATTAATTTTTGTCGTTTATATAGAGAACCTTCGCATACACAATTAAAGTCATGAAGCGATAAACAAAAAAACATTTTACATTCAGTTTTAGCGTAAAAACGAAAAAAAAAAATAGCAAATCATTTTAATTTAACGTTTTAAATTTAAAATATTTATTGAAAATGTAACACTTACCTATAAAAATATACGTAAGATTATTGGTGTAGATAATAATGCCAGAAATATTAGCGAGCATAAATTGCGTAATCTGGAACCATCCCAGATATTTTAAACTAAGTAAAATACTGTCTACATCCACATCAGACGATGGCATTTTCCCTCGTTTATTTTTTTTAATCGTACAACCCGGATATAAGAGAGTTGTCGGGACCGGAGAAGAAGTCTCTTATATCCGGGTTTCTCTTATATCCGGTTTTGGTCTATTTTATATACATTAACACAGGCTCTAATTTGGGACCAGAGAAAATCTCTCTTATATCCGGGTTACACTGTGTTTTCTTTTTCGATCTTCAGTAAAAACACGGGTCAATAATTGCGTGTTTTTATGCTAGAGAACTCTTAGGTTCCATTTTATCGTATCTTATCTCAACTTTTTTCAACCATCGGGTTGACTTGTCGCTAAACTGTTTATAAACGATATAAAATGAAAATACTTATATATTCCCATTATTGTCATTATTACATATTTTTGAAATCGAATTTTAATCAACGGGTTTAAAAATCATGAAATTTCATAGTTATGTCCCTTTATATTGTTTGGAAAATTTTTATTTACAGAAAATTAGAATATTAATAAAGTGAGAAAACATCTTTTCAATAACTTCAGTGGTAAAATATTAGATGTATTGATATTTTGTATAATACACGTCTGATGACAAAATAGACGATAATTTTTGTTGCCGCTCTTTTTCATGGAATTCGAAGCTGCAGACGACTCCTTTTTTGATTTTATCCTCAGTCAGATATTTATCCTCGGTCGTTTAAGAAGACGTTTTTTATTCTGGCTGCGTGGTTTTTACCACGTAAAATAAAGTGTTACCTTTAATAATTCGACTTACAATATAGAATTATTTACCTTTAGAGTTAATATTGATTTACCTTTTAAAATAGCTATATTACTGGTTTTATTTATGGATGGGAAGAGGGGAGGGTGAGTTTTCGCATCGAAGGACTTTGTGAGAAAATTTTATTAGCTTCGGTAGAATTCCGTAGCTGAGCTTTGTTTATATTTGAAAAGATTTTGTTAGCTTCGGTAGAATTATTGCATTTTGATTTATTTGTTTGTTGACTCGGAGAGTCAACGTTTCTTTTTGTTTGGCAGAGTCGTTCGATGCAGGGAATTCTGCCGCTATTCACATTCTTTACTTTAAAATAAGATTTTAAATATTTTAAAAGGATATTCTTCATGGAATAAGAAGATTTTAAGATCCTAGACTGGGTTAGGCTTTATGTTTTATTTTTTCCATTTACGCTTTCGGCTCCTCAGAAAGTGAAAAAGAGTTTCAGAAGAAGAAAAAGAAATGAATTTGAAGAAAGAAGAAAGAAAATAATAGAATTTGAAGAAATTGTTAAAAGATTTTATAACAAGATTTGTTTATTGTAAAGAAAAAGTTCAAAAAAGAAAAGATGTTTTTAAGTTGTCTGCTTGTAGAATGCATTCTAGACTGACATTCATGTAAAAATCCGTTTTATTTTTTGTTTATCATTACTTTTCGTTACTACTTAGCTTATGGAACAATATGCTTATGCATGTAATTTTTTATTTATAAGAATAAAGATTTATCTGTAAACATTGTATTTTGGTTGTTATCCAATAATTTTAAGATCGTCTGCTTCTTTGAGTAGTTTTGTTGTTAGTTTGTGGAATCTTCCACAACAAACCAGCCTTACCTCTTTTTAGGAAATGCACTGTTCCTATCTGGTAATAACATCCTACGTTCATACAAAATATCAACGAGAAACCATTGGTCAATCACAGTACAGCCAACTTGCTGATTGGTCACTTTCAGCCAATCAGATCGCTCTCACGTGAAGAGTCAATTTAGGCGCCAAGTCAATTCTGATCCTATCACGTGATACAGGCAGATATATAAACCCAACACGTAAACTCCCTCGAGTTTCTTTTCTTTTCATTTCTCTCGCGCGTCTCATTCCTTGCTGATTGAAGGCTACATGGTTCGCGTCTTGGACGGAAAGTTTTTTGCCCTGGAAGCCAGTTCCGTTTGTGCCAATATGGTTCCGTCAATGTCGAGGGATCAGCATTATGTGCTCTTGTGTCTGCTCGGCATTATGCGAATGGTAGTGTGGACGACTAGACAGAAGGAGCTGAGAAGTTTTCCTCCTTGCAACTGGTCTCTTTCTTTAGGCATCAGCTTATGGTTAAGATCAGGGCTGAGAGGGTGCGTCTCTCTACGTCGAAATTCGGCAAAAGGTGGGTGAAAGTTTCACGCTTGGTGCGAGTGAGAGGTGCTGACCTGGAGTGGTTGTTGGATGCAACTTAGGCAAGAGGATTTTGGGACTCGAACCGAAACATCAGTCATCCCAGCCTGTTTAAGGTAAGATAGGACTTTTTCATTTTCAGTTTTAGCCTTCTCAGGGCTAAATATTTTCCTTTCAACATAGCTAGAGCATGCAAGTACATAAGTCCCGCCTTTTTTGTCCTCCTTTTAGTTACTTGTCTCCACCCCACCTGGCTTTTTAGGTGACAGATGTCTCTTTTCTCTGGATTTGTTTCAACCCAGTTAATCGAGATTTCTGCCACATTTTTGGAATTGTTTTGTTTAGTTTCTTTTACAAACATATTTTTCATTGTATATTGGGTTTATGATTTTTCCCCATCTCTCGATAATTGTAAATAAATAATGGTAAATAAATATTAAGATGTAATCTTCAAGAACTCCCGTCTTAGCCATTGCGGTCAGACGTTAAAGACCATTACCAACATTCACGCAAGTACGAACTCTGAAATCTCTTCTTGTACAATACACAATTCCAAACATGCTAAAGAAACTTTATTCTTCTAAACTACAGTTTAATAATTACTTTCACTTTATGAGCTCAAATACAAATATTTACCTAATCTAAGGGACACGACTCTGTCCTATCTTTTCAGTTCACATGCATGTATATCAAATATTAATAAATACAATTGTTATGTTTTGAAACAAGATGTTTATGAATCATTATTTCTATGTCTTGTAATTGTTGTGGATGGAAGATTATTGAACATGCACAATTTTAAACCTTCTGATAATTCAAACCTTCTATTCATCTCCAACACACATCACACACATCCGCAACAAGTTTCCTATGAACAAGCCGAGAACAAAATCGGCAGTTTTAGTCTTCTTATGTATTAATATATTTATTTATAATTTAAATATGTTAATGTAAGATCGTACACGAGTAAAACTTTAATTTGATTGAGAATTTAATTTTTTCATTTAAATTTGGGTTTTTAACATCACCCAACGCCGACACACAAGAGAAGATGATAATTTTTTCTTCATTATATTGGACGATGTTTATTACGCTGAATAGAACAGGATATGTCATAAATTATAAATACTTAAAGTGGGATTCCCACCAGTTGGTAGGAGGGAAAAACATTATTTTGTAATACAAACCCTATTTGGCATAAACCTAAGTGTATTAACTCAATGGTTATTTTTTACTGAGTTTAAGAATTGTTTAAAGCAAAAGTTGAAACAAAGAATATGTCGAAAGCTACCATTGAACCTGCCATGTGTTATGACGTTAGATTCAGTGGAATCATTTTTACATTCTTCCAACACCTATGCAACTTGTACTTTGTAATGGACATACTGGTAGAGAAGCAAGCTATGAACAGGAGAAGCAGGTCTGGATATTTGACAATGAAACAAACAAATAGAATCCAACAATAATTTGGCAGAAGTTCAGGGAAATTTCAGAATTGCATGATTCTATTTGCAAGAATATACTCAGAGGGATGTTGAAAACATTGATGATTTTTTGGCCAGATGCCAATTACAGGCAAAAATAATGCAAGTTTCAGGATGCTCAATAAACTGAAGAGTGCCTAATTGAAGAAATTATTGCAGGAGCCAGACATCTAGAGTTGTAAAAACAATTACTGTTAAAAAGTGAGAAACTCACACTTTAAGAAGTCTTAAATATTTGTAGGATCCATGAAACTTCACTAAGACACATGAAGTAGCTAGCTGAAATATAAAAATTGGGATACTCAGGAACTTAGTGCTATTAGACACAATCTTGATAGCGATCAATGTAGAAGATGTGGTTGAATTCATCCTGGCAAAAAATAAAAATGCTCTGCTTGGTATACAACGTGTTCTGCTTTGGAAACAATAAAAACAGAAAAATAGTGAAAGTTCTGGGTTAGATTGGTGATGATAGAATGTCAGTTTGGTTTTTGAGGTATTGAATGTGACGAGACAGTCACCCCCCTACTGAACTGTTTGAGGTAGGTCAAAGGTGAGATCATCTGTCAGGTTCTGGTCATCTAGAGTTTTGGAAGTGCATCCATATACCGTTGTATCCTTAATAGATATCCACAAATAATTGGAGTATACCCTTAGGTAGATCATTTATGCAAAGTAGAAAGAGGGTTGAACCTTGGAGAATGCCTGTGTTGATAAGTTGGACTTCGGAAGACTGGCTATTAACAACTACCTTGAAGGACTTTACAATTTAGAAGATTCTTATTGGATAAAAGGGAATCTACCAGTAAAGATCAGGGAAAGTCAGCCTAAAAACAGATAAGACCCCTGAGTATTACGCGCACGCCAGACAAAACAAAGAGCTATTACGACTGTGGTGCAAGAGACTTCTATACAAAGGCCAGAATGTAACTACGACAAAGCATCAATCCAGCACCTGGGAAAAGCTATAGTGACAAGTACAAACGAGCTCAAGTCATACAATGTCACCTTGGCAATACAACTGTAGGTGAGAGCGCCATGTACGTCCCACTAACAAAGCCAAATGAAAGCGACCGAAGATCACGTTCACACTGTGGAGAAAAACTGCCCAAACCCAAATCACACGGGGAAGACATGTGAGAATATCACCTCACTATAGAAAAACTTCATTAGAAGGAATCAACGCTTATACTACGCTGTGAGGATTAATAATAATGTTTAAGGCTCAAAGTTCTAGGTTCAGGATTGAACTACGGGATAATAACTAGCCTAGAGGTTTTAAAGCGTTGGTTTATGGATTTGGTAACATAGT